CTGCTGCGCGATCTGGTCGCGGGTGGCAAATGGGCGCGAAACCCCCACGGAGTTCCCGCTGCGCGATCTGGTCGCGGGTGGCAAATGGGCACGAAATCCCCACGGAGCCCCCGTTGCGCGATCCCTCCTCCTCCTCCTCCTCTTCCTCCTCCTCCCTCCTGGGGGGGTCGGGGGTTGGTTTGGGATCCTCCCTGGCCGGGGAAAGGCTCACCTCGGCTCCTCCGGCCGGCTCGTCCACGCCCCGCGGAGGGGGCGCCCCGGTGCCCAACGGGTCCTGCAGCTCGAGTTGGAGATCCCAAATGTAGTCGATCACGTGCTGGAGGATCTCCACCTTGGAGACGCGGCGGTGGCGAGGCAAAGTGGGCACCAGGGCGGCCAGGCGCGAGTAGCAGCCTTTCATGTCCAGAAGCAGCGAGGCGGCGGCGGCGGCGGCCGCTTGGTCCGGCCCGAGAGGCAATCCCCGGGAAGTTGGGCTGCCGCTGCCGCCCACGCGGGACAGCGTCACGCTCTGCTCCGAGAGGCCCCGCGGCAAAGGGTCTCCCCCCGCGCCCTTGAGAGGGCAGCTAGGGCCCGGGGAGACGGCGGGGGCGGCGGGCACCACCTTCATGACACGAACGGACGCAACTCCGAGGACAAAACCCCCCCTAACAAACGTTGACCAAACCCAACTTCTCCTCTAACGCAGCCGCGAGTGGCGCTCCGGCTGCGAAGTGGCGGCTTTTATAACATTCGGAGGGGTGGTGGGCGGAGCCACGAGGCTGCCGGACAGCCAATGAACGAGAGAGAGGGGCGCGGCTTCCCGCTCTCACGCTTTCATTGATGGGGATTCGCGTCTCCGCGGGACTTTTGCCAACGCGGGTTTTCACCCCCCTCTGCTGGTCGTCTGAAGGGCGGGGAGGGGGGATCGGGGCCAGGTGCAGGTGGAGGCCGCCCCGGGACATGTCGTCGAGTGCGGGGGGAGTGGGGAAACGGAGCGGGAAGAAGGTTGAAAGGAGTTGATGGACAGCTTTGACACTTCTCCCTCCGCTTCCCCCGTCGCCGCGACCCGCAGAGACGGAAACAAACGCGTGTCTGAACATTCCTTTTCTCGCCTCCTCTTCCGCACCTCCGGGCTTTGCCCCTCCCTGCCTTGGCCGGCAAATGTACTGGGAAAGGGGGCGCGCATTGAAGAATGCAAACCAGGCGATGCTCCGGAGGAATTTTGCTTTTGGGGGGAGAGGGGGACACCTTTTTTCACCTTGCTCCGCACTTTTTCGGGGTGTGTGTGTGTGTGTGACACCTCGCTCCGCACTTTGATGCCGGAATCTTCTCGCTTTGGCAGGGAGAGTTGAGGGTAGACTACAAAACCCATGACTCCCACTCCGCCGGCTGCCAGTGGTGTGTGTGTGTGTGACTGGATCTGGGCCGCGAGGCATCAGAGGGGCGCCAGGTTAAGGGAGGGGGGTGTTTCTTTGCCCCTCCCCCACTTTCCAACGCCTCCCCTCCATCTGGGGAAAAAAAAAACCTGCGGCACGGGACGGTGACAAGCCAGCATCTAATCTTGGCCTGTCGTACCTGGGCTTGTCGTGTGAACGGAGCCATCGAATATGCAGCCCGTGAGAATGGATAAACTGGCAATTTCCTTTTGGTTTCCTGGCTCCAGAGACCTAATGGGATAGGATAGGATAGGTTTTCCTGCTCGAGCAGGGGGCTGGACTAGAAGACCTCTTGGGTTCCTTTCCAGCTTTATTCTATTCTAATTCTAAGTTTCACACGCGCGTTGCCCTCTTTTCCTCCGTGGGCGTGCGTTTGTGTCATTTGATTTGTGTGTTTTGTGTGTTATATGTTCTGTGTTTATTTGTTGTGTTTTGGGTCTGTGTGTCACTTGAACCGTTGCGTTTCCTGCGTGTTTGGTCTCTGTGTCATTGACCGCTTTGCGTTTCCGTGTCATTTACCGTTTTAGTTGGGTATACCATTTTGACTCTCGTGTTTTGTGTGCGGTATGCATTTTACCGTACGTCTTGGGCTTGTGGATCATGGGCTGTGTATTTGCGTGTTGTGTCGTTATGTGTGAAAATGTGTGTGTGTGTTAAAATCAGCCGTAATTGTTGTCATAGAACGATCGAATCGGCGTCCAAATTTACTTTGAATGTGAAAAAACAAAAAAAATCCACGCGAAAAGCTTCCCACGCCACGGGCGGGGCGGGGTCGCAAGAAGGGTTGCTGCGTGGTCTCCCGTCCCGCCAACCAAATGCAACCAGATCCAAATGCAAACTCATGTTCCCCTGCCCTTCCCCCCCCTCCAAAGAAAATCCTTCGGCTCTTGCATCGATATATATATATATATAGTCGTTTCCCACAGCGGCCCGCCGCCTCCCCGCCTTAAAAAGCCGCTCAGACCTTCAGACGCCAAGGCTCGTGACGTCACCCATTCATAAAAATCCCCAGCGCTGTCAGCTTGGCGCCTCGCGGCCGGTGCCCATGGCAACCAGAAAGAGCGCGAGGCGGGCCCAGCTGAACATCTTCTCCGCCCGCCGCGCTCTTCCATTCACCTGTCAGGCCGCCCTGGGAACCGCGGAGCTCCCTGATCCTTCCCTCCCCCTCCCCTGGTGGAAAAAAAAAAGCGCCCCCTCCCCACATCTCCAGGGAAGCCCGCCCCTACCCAAAATTGAGCCCAATATTTCCGTTGCTAAGCGAGACCCAAGTGATTTTTCCCTGTTTTACGACCTTTCTTGCCCCCGTTGTTAAACGAATCACTGCAGTTGTTCAGTGAGGAAAACGGACGTTAAGCAAATCTGTCTTTTCCCATCGACTTGCCTTGTCAGAAGGTCGCCCAAGGGGATCATGGGAGCCCTAGGACACGGCAAAACCGTCGTAAACACGAATCGATGGCCGAGCCTCTGAATTTTTTGATCACGTGACCGGGAAGGGGGGTGCTGCAAGTATTTTAAAAATAGTCATAAGTCCCTTTTTCCGACACCGGGAACATACTGCCATATGTGGTGGCCTTGTGTAGAAGCTAAAAGATACGGGACTAAAATACACACCTGGTTGGAAAAAATGATTAAACAACATATAGATTTGAAGCCCGAAATATTTTTATGAGGAATGGTACTTGTGAAGAAAAAAAAACATACTTAAACATACATGTATTAACAGGTTACAGTAAAGAAAAAAAAGGTTACAGTAAAGAAAAAACTTACTTAATCCTACAAGTATTAACAGCAGCTAGAATTGTATTTGCTCAGAATTGGAAAAGCGACAAAGATACCAATAGAAGGAAAAGTCATCGAACAAAAATATTGGAATGTGCAGAAATGAATAGGTTAACATTAGAAATTAAAGAAAAAGAAGAATCGGAATATTATATGGTATGGGATTTGTTTTATCAATGGTTAGAAAATAAAACAAATTAAAATGGATCAGATGTATTTATAAAGCAATAAGAGAAGTTTGCAAAATAGATATATCGGATATTACTTACATGGCAATGTGATTCATGTTATATGGTTACATTGATAAGAAGAGTATTATTAGTAATTGTTAAGCACATAAAATACGTACCTAATCGGTGCACGATTGAAAATGGAATGGATTTATTGTATGTCAAAAATAAAAATTATAAAAAGCCACTTTTTTTCTGTGCTGTTGTAAGTTTGAACAGTCGCGAAATGCATGGTTCTAAATCAAGGGCTATATTTGTATATGGTAGCAGCTGAGGGCATATATACCTGTGCAATACCTGACTTTTTATTTAATAGAAAGGATGCTGCTTTCACTTCTGCATTTAACTTAATTAATTAAAACATTAATCTAACATTTAGCTGCATCTAACTTCGATGGTTAGATGACCTACATCAGCCCAATTCCTGGGCTTGCAGTGCAGCCTACTACTGGGCTGTGACTTATTTGAAATTGGGCTGTGCAAGTGGCTAGTCCTCAGCGAGTCCTCAGGTCCTGCAAATTGAGCTCTGTGTGTGTGTGTGTGTGTGTGTGTGTGTGTGTGTATGAGTCCTCAGCTTATGACCACAACTGAGTCCGAAATTTCTGTGGCTGTGAGACCTTTGTAAAGTGGGTTTTTGCCCCCATTTTATGACCTTTTTTTGCCACTGTCATTAAGTGAATCGCCTGCAAGTGGATAAGCGAGTCCCATGGTTGTTAAGCGAATGGGGATTTTCCCCATTGGTTTTGTTGGTCAAGAAGGTCACCGAAGGGGATCGTGTGACCTTTTGGGACCCTGCCACCGTCATAACTGTAAGTCAGTCCAAACAGAGTTGTGGGGAAAGGCGCCACACAGCCTGCCTGAATGCAAGACCTGGCTTGGCTCACTGACAGGAGCCGTCTAAGTGGCAGTGATAGTTACAGTGCAGCATGGCAGGCTGACTCTGCTGACTGCCAGGAGTTTGATCCTGAGTGGCTCCAGGTTGACTCAGCCTTCCGTCCTTCCCAGGTCGGTAAAATGAGGACCCAGATTGTTGGGGGCCAGAGGCTGACTCTGTAAACCGCTTAGAGAGGACTCCCTTCCTCCCTCCCTTCCTCCTTCTTTCCTTCCTCCTTCTCTTCTCCCTCCCTCCCTCCTTCTCTCCTTCTTCCTTCCTTCCTCCTTCCCTCCTCCTCTCCTTCCTTCCTTCCTTCCTTCCTTCCTTCCTTCCTTCCTTCCTTCCTTCTAAAGGTTGACTCAGCCTTCCGTCCTTCCGAGGTCTCTCTCTCTCTCTCTCTCTCTCTGCTTACACCCCAAAATTTGAAGAGAGACCTCCTGGCTTGGCTCATTGGCGGAATCCACCTAGGCAGAGAGGCTCTCCCCACTGACACCCCACATTTAGAGCAAGAGGAGCCATCTGGGAGAAGAGGGAGAAGCTCTCTTTGCTTACACCCCGAATTTGAAGGGAGTCCTGGCTTGGCTCACTCACAGGAGCCATCTTCTAGGCAGAGAAACTCTCTGTGCTTACACCTTGAATTTGGAGGGAGACCTGGCTTGGCTCACTGGCGGGAGCCCTCTACAGCAGGGAAGACGCTCTCTCAGCTGACACCCCGAATTTGAAGAGAGACCTGGCTTGGCTCACTGGCGGGAGCCATCTAAGCAGAAAGAGACTCTCCCCACCGACACCCCGCATTTTAGAGCAAGATCTGGCTTGGCTCACTGGCGGGAGCCCTCTACAGCAGGGAAGACGCTCTCTCGGCTGACACCACTCAATTTGAAACTCCGGGATCGCCTCCCCTCCTCCCCCTCCCCAAATTTGGGGGAATGGTCCTTCCCGCGGCTGCCTCTCCCTCCTCCCCCCACCCCCGCCCCCCCAGCCTGGAAGGAAGGCGGGGGGAAGGGGGGGGGTGCAGCCGTGCAGCTGTGCGGGCTATTGTCGGCGTCGGCCGGCTCGAGACGGCGAGCCCAGACAGAGCGGCTCCATCGCTGCCCTGAATTGTTCTCCGCTGCCCCGGGCGGGCGGGGCGGTGTGTGTGTGTGTGCGCGGGAGAACCGGCTGCCAAGAGCGCCGGACGCGAGCGAGGACTGCCTCTCCCCCTCCCCACCCCGGCCGAGGGGGACCGAGGGGGGGGGGGGGCTTCCCGCACCGCTTGAAAGTTGGAGAGACTCCGAACGAGGCGCAGCTCCAGAGCCCGACTGGAGCCCGGAGGAGAAAGGTAGCCCACCGTGGTGGGAATGCGGGGACGCGTGTCGCAAGTCAACCTGG